AAAAATCAAGGAAATCATCTGGATTTGCAGCTGAAGCCTCTGCTTTGCTGTCCTGCCCCAGGGAGGCCTCACCCATGTGGGAGAACAGCTCTGAAAAGCAACAGTAGTGTTTAGTAATGTTGGCAGCAGAACATAAAGTGGAAACAAAATCAGTATTTTAATTCCCATCTCCATCCTCTCCTTTTTTACATTTTCCTTCGCTTCACCAGCGGGGAAAATCCTCCCCATGCAGGTACAGAAAAAGTGAAGATAATCAGGCAATTTTCCATCTCCGATCAAAACGGCAACTTCCCCTTTGATTATAAATTCCAAATAAAATGAATATTGTTCCATTTCCTTTGAATGTGTTACAGAAAAGCTATTTCAGTTGTGTTTGCTGCCTTCCTCCCTACCTATTATTTTCACCCCAGGCCTTTCCAGACATCTTTCATAAAAGCATTAACTGATATTTATTCGACACGGAACTGCTCTTTCCATTTCTCTTTCAGTTTAACAGAACCCTACAGACCACGGTGAAGAGGATTTTGAGCAATCACACTGTTTCACACACCCTCAGTCTCCTTTTCTCTGTGCAAGAGAACACTGTTATGGAAAGATGAGGCATAAAACCCAGTGCTGGCAGCACCCTTCAGCTCCCCCTTCACACAGGGCACATCATTCCAGCCCACAGATGGTATCAGGGGCTCTGCTGTGCACTTACCAAACTTTAGGAGGGAAGCAGAGGCAAGTTCAGAGGTTGTACAGCTCATTGCACTACTGTGTAAAGTTGCCCCCCATAGCTCTTTCACGCTAATAAAAGCGGAATAGAAAAATTGTGCTAAATAGTTGATATGAGAACAGAAATAAATTGTAGTAAAACACAACGTAAAGTGCTTTGTGTCCCTATATGTGCTTCAGAAAAAGCCACAGTTTGCATTAGATAACGGATTTTGCTTGTGTCCTAGTAAAAAGGAAAAAAAAAAAGCCAACACATCCCCTTATTGGTGTTATACTGAGGGTTTGGGCATCTATCCCCTCTCCCGGTTGGATGGGGCTTTGAGCAACCTGGTCTAGTGGAAGGTGGAATGTATTGAAACTAGATGATCTTTAAGGTCCCTTCCAAGTCAAACCATGCTGTGATTCAGTGATAACTCCCCCATGGGGGAAGTGTAGCTGTTAAAGAAATCAAGTACACCAGGCATACCCATGGACGTAATCCAAGGCCAAAAGTCCCATCCAAGGCCTTACTGAATGGGTAGGACTGCTTGGTAGATTTGCATTGGGGTGGAAGTGTTGACTATTTCCAAACTTTACAGAACTCAGATGCCAGGAGATCAAAGGGAGCTCGATGAGACCTGCTTCCCACCCGCTTCCCACATAAATTAGCCAAATCACAGGAAAATAGTGAGCGACACACCACAAATGATCTCTGCTCTGCCCCAGGGCTGATGGTGGCAGAAACAGTCCACAGTCAGGCACAGAGGGATGCAATGCCCCGGGGAAGATCTGACAAGACCTATCCAAGTAGCCCACTCGCCCTGTTGTGGGTCACCCTGCATCCCAGGAGGTCACTGCTGTGGCACCCGCACCCACCGCACAACAGAGTGAGGGCACCTGGGTTTTTACCTTATTTTTGCATGCAGAAATCAGTGTAATGAATGAAGCTGTGTGTGCCATCTCTTAGGGGTAAAAAGAAAAAAAAAAAAACGCCATGCAGATCTGGCATGGCAGTGTGTTTGTATGCTCCACTACCTGCCAAACCCAAAGGAAGCAGTATTCCCAGTGTAGCGAAGCCCAGCTGTCAATGATCTCTTCCAAGATAAAATCTTTAAGGAAGCAAATTCTGTAATTTCAAGGACACCTGTGATGCTAAACTCGCACCAGAATGTAAATAAAAAGCAGTAAAAGCCAGATTTGCCTTGTTATCCACGCTGCCTAAAGCACTATTTATTATTGCCATAACTAGCTGTCTGAAGCATCCTTTGAATTGATTAAAAACCTGGATGTAAAGGAGGAAGAAGAATGGCATGATGCTACACACGAAATATTTCTTGTTTCCAGCTAAGACAACACAAACACAGAGGTTAACACAGCCAGTAAAAACTGCCCATTGCACACACTCTAATTTCTTTGTAGTCTATTCACCCTGTAAGATTAATTAAGTTAAAAGGCTTAATTAAAACTCCATGCAACCCCGAGAGAAAGATTTAATTTTTTTAAGAAACTCCAGAAACTAGAAAAAAAATTTCCTTCATTTCAATCAGTAGACTTCTTATTTACTATTGTTTTCGGTCTGTGCCCCAAGAGAAAGAAGATAAAAGCACAGTCAATCCAACACCTGCACCTTGCAGAGGCAAGGACAGACGAAGGCGAGATGGCCACCAGCCCCCTGGGCCTTCCTTGGAAAGGGCTCTTGGGGATCTCATGTCCCCAGGCAGCACTGAATGCCTCTTGCAAACTTTAGAGGGAAGCCTTCTCATTTTGGGCATAATAGAAAATATGATTTTCAGTGCCTTACACATCATCTCCAAATTGATTTCTTCCCCCTCCCAGCCCCCCACCCCCCGTTTAATCGTCTGTTCTGTCAACTTACAAAATTCTCTGTACAGAGAGTGACATCTAGTGAAGGAAAGCTGAATTTGTGTGGATACAGGGCTGAGCCTGCGAGAGCAGAGATGGGGATTGGAAAACCCTGTAAGGAAGATTGCCAAGGGTCACTCCCAAACAAGGCTGAATTATTGCCCAGCAGAAACTCGTTTATTCACCTAGCAACAAAAATCGAGGGCTCACACGGCACTTGCCTGGGATTAAAAAAACAAAAATTGGAAGAAAGGCTCAGTTCACAGGGTATTTCTGAGTGCCAGAAGGGCTGCCAAGGACCAGCGAGAGCCCACCAACATGTGGAAGGAGGCAATGGTATATCCTGTCCTTATAATTATACTTGCAACAAGTATCTCTGCAGCTGCTGCTGTGCCAAAGCCCCAGCCTTCCCACCAATTTCCAGCGTAAGCCCAGGACCCCCGAACTTTGTCTCCAAGCAACCTGACAGCTGGACAGTAGCTGAAAAGCACATAAAATAGAAACTGCAGCAAATGCTATTTGAAAAAACAAATAGCTGTGGGGCCCCAGCACCCCCCAGCTAAGGCGATGTCACCTCTCCCTGCAAGTGGCCTCAAGAGGGCATTGCCACACCATCAGAGTGAGGACATGCAGCACACAGCATTGATGCTGCAGACAATGAATAAACGATATTGCAAATAAAAGGTGCCATCACCCAAAATCAGCATCTCATATTTGATTGTCACAAATACGTAGCTCTGGGTTTTTTTAATCAAAAATAAGCTGTTGAGGAGTTTACCATCTATCTTAGTGGAAGGCACTGAAGGACTTGGACACAATGTGCTGGAAAAGACACAGTTCTTATTAATCAAGGTGTTCTGGGTGGCACTGGGTTCCACACCGTGAGCAGTCACGTGTGAACTGTACGCCTGGCTTATACACTCTGCTATTACTTTTGTTGTTGTTACTGTTTATCTTATTTCATTGCTTTATCTAATAAACTGTTCTTATCACAACCTGTGATCTTTACCTTTTTGTCCCTCTAATTCTTCTCTCTATCCTGCCACAGGGGGAGCAGGAAGGGAGTGAGTGAGAGGTGCATGGTCTGGGGTGTTTCAGTAGGAACATTGAATTGGGGAATCCCATTCCTAAACAAAACAGCATGAAGGATTAAGATAACAACAGCTCTGACCAGAATGGGCTGGAAACAAATTGGATCTAAGATTTGTTGTATTAAGTACAGAGCCACTGGTCAAAATGTTGCTTGGTCTTTTCAAGTTGTTGTGGTACCAAACCCTGTATATACTCTCACATATGCACTATGGTGTCCTCAGAATGGTTTTTTTCAGAGCAGGGAGAGGGATCAGCATTGCTTGGTTGATGTACTGTGGGATATCAGTTGACATGACAAAATCAAGGCAATAAGGGTCACTTGGGATGTGTATTCAGTGTTACTCACCTGCCCTTACCTCAGGTGCTACCTCCAAGAATTCATTAATAATTGTACCCAGTCTGTGGGGAGAACAGGGGACGGTCATTTTCCCCACCCTTTTTCTCCTCCGGGTGTTTTACAACAGCTTTTGAGAAGTCTGAATTCCCTTTGGATACTAAGGAAAGCAGGTTTTTGTTGTTATGTCTGTTAGGTCTCCTCAGTGCAACCCACACGATGTTTAGAGTTACGAAAGAGATTTTTAGGAAAGTCATTCAAAGATCTGCCTCGAGGGTGCATAGTCATGAGTGGCATGAAGTGCAGAAGAAAGTGGGCCAGCTTTTGGAGGATTTCTCTCCTCCAATGTTTTGAAAGTTCACCTATGAATAACTGCAGGACCCTGATAAAGTGGCACAATATCGGAAAGGAAAATGCAGTGGCAGTTCCAGAGAGGCATGAAGTTATGCAATGTGTTGGGCTCTGGCTACTATTTATCAGACACTGATCGATCTTAGACAGTCCTCTCAGGGAAAGGAGGAGGAAAGCAGACCGACAGGTACCACAGCCACTCAAGGTGCCACTGAATGAGAGGAACACCCCAGTTTTTCTGCCAGTAGCAGTCGTCTCATAGAAAAGAAAAAAAATCCAAGACCAAATCAATTCACTCAGTGAGGGATCAAGAAGAAGTAGCGATCCCAAGAGCTGACTATACTGGAAGCTGAAGCGAGCCTGACTGTGAATGCATGGCAAGAACATTCCATTGTGACTGATCCAGAGGCCCTGTGCAGCCTTGGCACAGATTACCTCAGGAGACGATATTTCAAGGACCCAAAAGGGCACCCTTGGGCTTTTGGGATGGCTGGTGTGGAGACAGAGAAAATTAGACAGCTCAATACCTTGCCTGGTCTCTCAGAGGACCCTTCTGCTGTGGGACTGCTGGGGGTGGAAGAACAACAGGTACCATAACAGCACACAGTCCACAACACGGCACCAACCAGGACTCTGTGACCCCCATCCATGAGGATTCATGAACTGGAGAGCCAGGGAGTGGTCAGTAAGATTCACTCACCCTTTAACAGCCCTATGTGGCCAGTGCTTAAGTTGCTTAAGTCCAATGGAGAGTGGAGACTGACAGTGGACTATCGTGGCCTGAATGAAGTCACACCCCCACCGATGTCACTGTGCTGGACAGATGGAACTTCAGTACAAAGTGGAGTCCAAGGCAGCCCAGTGGAGTCACCACTGACATTGCCAATGTGCTCTTCTCCATTCCTTTAGCAGCAGGTTGCAGGCCACAGTTTGCTTTCACCTGGTTCCAGGTGTGCAGTATATCTAGAACCGACTGTCCCAGAGGCGGAAACACAGCCCCATCATTTGCCATGGACTGATCCAGGCTGCTCTGGAAAAGGGTGAAACTCCAGGACACTTGCAGTACGTTGATGACATCATCATATGGCAGAGCATGGCAGAGGAAGTTATTGAGAAAGGGAAGAAAATAATCCACATCCTTCTGAAGGCTACTTTTGTCATAAAGCAAAGTAAGGTCAAGGGACCTGACAGGAAATTCAGTTTTTAGGAATAAAATGGCAAGATAGACATCAAGAGATTCCAATGGATGTGGTCAGCAAAGGAGCAGCTATGTCCCCACCAACCAGCAAAAAAGAAATACAGGCTTTCCTAGGTGCTGTGGGGTTTTGGAGGAGGATATTCTAAATTACAGTCAGATTGTAAGCCCTCTGTGTCATGTGACCCAGAACAAGAATGATTTTATGTGGGGTCCTGAACAACAACAAGCTTTTGAACAAATTAAACAAGAGACTGTTCATGCAGTAACCCTTGGGCCAGTTAGGACAGGACAAGATGTAAAAAATATGCTCTACACTGCAGCCAGAGAGAATGGTCCCTCCTGGAGTCTACAGCAAAAAGCACCAGGAGAGACTCAAGGACAATCCCTGGGGTTCTGGAGTCAGGAATACAAAGGACCTGAGGTCTCTTACACCCCAACTGAAAAGGAGATCCTGGCAGTTTAGGAATGGGTTCAAAGACGCTTCAGAAGTGATTGGCACCAAAGCAGAGCTCCTCCTGGCACCCTGACTTCCAGTGCTGGGCTGGATGATCAGAGGGAAACTCCCTTACACACATCATGCCACTGATGCTACATGGAGTAAGTGGGTTGTGCTCAAATAGGAAACCCCAACTGTCCAGAGATCTTGAAAGTCATCATGAACTGGCGTGAGGGCAAAAATTTCAGGCTATCATCATCAGAGAAGAAGAAGGTGACATGTGCTGAGGAGGTCCCACCGTAAAATCAACTACCTGAAAATGAAAGGTGACACAGTCTCTTCACTAATGGTTCCTGCTGTATTTTAGGGATACATTGAAAGGGAAAGCAGCTCTACAGAGTCCTATGTGGTGAGTTGCAGAAGCCACCGAGGGACATGAGGGACAAGGTGGATCAAGTCAGTCAGGCTGCAGAGCTGAAAGCCATCCAGATGGCTTTGGATATCGCTGAAAGAGAGAAATGGCCAACACTCTACTTCTACACTGACTTGTGGATGGTAGCAAATGCTCTGCGGGTGAGGCTGGACCGATGGAAAAATCCTGACTGGCAGCGCAGAGGAAAACTCATCTGGGATGCTGAATTGTGGTGAGGCATCACTACCCGGGTTATTCTGTACCACCTCATGCCATGTGAAGGGGGTATGAAGGAGGGTGGAGATTTTTTTGTGATGTATGGAGTACACGGTCAGGTGGCACTGCATTCTGGTGGTGAACAAATGTGTGTAAATCATTTGCCCATCTTGTGCACTCTGGCTTTATTATTGTTGTTGCTACTGATCATTTTCCTATTTCATTGCTGTTTCTAGTAAACTGTTATTATCTCAACCCGTGATCTTTACCTTTTTGTGCCTCCAATTCTCCTCTCCATCCCACCACAGAGGGAGCGGGGGGAAGGTGAGTGAGTAGTGTGTGGTCTGGGCTGTTTCAGTGGGAACACTGAATTGGGGAATACCATTCCTAAACCACAACATCTCAGAACCTAGAAATGGAGTTGATCTTCATACTGACTCAGCCATTTAAATGGCAGCACAGGTTGTAAGGTTTCCTTCAAGAGGAGACAGTCCATCACAACTGAGAGTGATACAACTATGCTGTTCCATGAGCACAATCAAATGGTAATTTCCTACTTTTACAAGAAAAGTCAATATAGCAATTGCAGAAAGTTTGGGAACAATGTGAACTTGGCTACCACCAGCAGCCAGACAGGCTTTCAGTCTGTTATGGTGAGTGAGTTTTCCTTCTTGCACATGTCTGCACTGTGCTAAGAATAAGGACTGCCAGGACTGCTAAATCCTGACACCAGACCAGGATGTTGCCCTTTGACAGTGCCACAAAACACCCTGAGATGGAGCAAAAAATCAGACCTTTACTTCTCTAGACTGGATCTTAGATGGCACCACAGGAGGGACTCTCAGTTAGGACACAGGTGGCCAAACAGCCTTTCCCCTCCAGGACACACATTAAAGCCTCACTGGGGTCACTAATGATCAACCACCCTGGCTTTGCTGCACTTGCAAGCATATTTTTCATTTCACTGGTTTACTCTCTGCAGGACTAGGTCACTGTGCTACCTCCGAGTTGCCTGGATGGTCCTCCCACCAGAAGCTTTAGTGCCTGGGGCTTGTTGTCCATCTCAGGAGTAATTTGCTGCTGTCCTGGATCCAGGTCAGTGGATTTTGTGTTGAACAAGGTCCTAACTTTCTTGAGGTGAAGGGTCTTTCCCTGCCAACACTGCTCTTGTAACTGCTGCTGTTCTAAATTTTGTAGAACCGGTAACTTAAATTCAGGAAGTGTCCTAGTCCTGGATGTCACCCCTGAATTCAAAAGATATCTTTTTTATAGAACAGGCATATCTTTGCATCCAAGGCTTTCACTTCCGAACACAGCAAAGCAAAATTCATGCTTGTCTGGGAGTGCAATCACCCATGACTGCACATGTCCATACTGCTCATTTTCAGTGATGTGTGTTGCATCTTTCCCTGGAGCTCCACACAAACTGATCTTTCAGGAGACTCTAGGATGCCAAGGTTTTCCTTCTGAGTCAGTCAGGAAATACTTTGGCTAAAAAGAGTGATGGTAATCCCTTTCTAGATATGAAAAATCCTAATAAACGTTTTTGGAAAGTTTGTTATTTAGCCTGCTTTTTTTCTGTTTCAATATTCAATTATTTCTGATTGGAAAAGGGAGTTTGATGTACTGAGAGGTGACAGAAATGCTCATGAGCTGGCTCTGCAGGAGCTCACACTTCTAGGAAAGGAAGGCAATGTGGTTCTCCACACTGCAAGATTTACACCTGCCCTGCAAAGCTCATGAATGCAGGTGGACTTCCTAGCTGAATATTGGGTGAGGTTTGACAGCATTAAGCCATTTTCAACCAATCTACCAGAAAATGGATCCAAATTTACTGTTACATCCTATTTCTCATCACACTGTCTTGAAAAACGAGTACATACAGTTTTGGACCCCACCATAAAATGTGTTAATAATGAAAAGCCAGGGGAGATGCACATGTACCTAACTAATCATTTGAAATCAATACTGCAAGTAACATTTATAAACAGAAAAAACAGAGCTGAGTGCACTCTGTATCCCAGGAACCGCAAAAACTATTGTCATGATGGGCAGGAGGAGTAATTTGGTTCACTGGCTTTCCCTATGGAGAGACTATTAGCAGCTGTCAGTTTTCTATTGCTGCCAGTCATTCATTTCTCCTTCACATTTCTCCCAAAAGGAAGTGCAAGGCTAGTTGTTGGTAATGAAGAAGAACACTTCAAAATCACTGTTTCTCAGTTTTTAAAACCCACTGTCTGATGTAACTGTACAGCTACAACATACAGTGGAGAAGAAAGCAGGCACTCAAGCGGCCCTGATTGGAATTTTTACAAGTGTTTTAGAGTGCTGTATTTAACCAGACCAATTGCTGTATCCCTTAGCTGGACGTAGTGGATTCCTCTCCTTTCTGCCTTTCTCCATCAAGCCACAAGTACATAAGTGCTTTAATTGAACATGGAAGCTGCTTGGAAATTTGAACCTTCTGTTCTCAGGTGAAGAGCTTCCCATCCCTTCAACGCTGCCATCCCTAACATTGACAGTGTGGGAAAACTCGATGTCTTTGCAAGCATTCAATTCTTTGAAGGGACAGCTTGATGGACACTCGCAGAAGACAATGGATTCATGGAACCTTAGAACCATAGAATGGTTTCAGTTGGAAGGGACCTTAAAGGTCCAACTCGCTTGCCATGGGCAGGGACACCTTTTCCTAGATCAGGTTGCTCAAATCTCCATCCAGCCTGACCTTGAAATATTAAAAAATTATAATAGTCAGTGTCATTAAATACATATCATGCAACCTTTTATCATTGGTTATGAACACTGAAAAATAATAAATCAAGAGCTTTGGATTCACGTCTGCAATTGGAGATTTTCCACACAGGCTTTACCATCTTCCTCTGCAGTTACTGTCTGAGACAGCTCAACTGTAATTCCAACTAATCCCCATGCCCAGAGTTGCTTTTGCCATAGATTTGGTGGGTCTCCCTTCAACCATGTCTTTCTCAGCGGCGGGACCTTTTGGCAGCACTCGGGTCAGAGCCAAGGCTGCTTTGCACTGCCAAAATCATCCTCCTTTACGAGGGATTCCAAGGCTGTCCTACTACTCAGAGACACTTAGGTTAAAGCTGAAGCAGCAGCAAGCCCTCCCGGAACCTTCCCCTCCTCTTGAAATTAATTTGTCCCACTGCAGGTTGGATAATATTAATATTAATAATTAATTTCCCTGTTGAGAAGACTTCTTTCAGTGATAATTGTTCTCAGTTTGCAGAGGCAGTAGTAAGAATCTGGATTTTACATGTAAATTATTTGGTAATGGGGTAATGAAAACCAAACATCACAGCAATCCAATTCATAGATATGACTCACAGGATCTTTCCAATTCCTTCAAATATAGATAATTCTTCAGAGACTTAATGGGGGAAAACGTTTCTGCACACCAAATAATGCCACCAGATGGTGAATGAAACATTAAATCATCTCAGTCAAAT